TTGGAAAGCATTGTAGACACTCTTTTAAACCTAGTAATAAAAGATGTTCTTCTCCCTTTGATGTTATTCATTCGGATGTGTGGGGCCCTTATCATGTTCCCTCCATGGGTGGCTATCGCTATTTTCTCCTGTTTGTGGATGGTTTCTCTCGATATTTTTGGATTTACTTGATGAAATCACGCGATGAAGTACCATCCTTAGTGAGGCAATTCCACCAGATGGTACTAACACAGTTTGGGACGAGAATAAAGATGTTCAGATCTGACAATGCTAAGGAATATTTTGAGAGACATCTTGCCTCATATCTGTTGGAGTATGGTGTTGTCCATCAGAGCAGTTGCTCCTATAGTCCACAGCAGAATGGTGTTGCAGAGAGGAAGAATAGACACATCGTTGAGACGGCAAGAAGCATGATGATCACAACCACAGTTCCAGTTCGTTTTTGGGGTGATGCAGTTCTCACGGCAGTATATCTGATTAACAGGGTGCCTTCTCGTGTACTCGGATTCAACACTCCATTCAGCCTTCTTTTTCCTCAGGGGGAGATGTTTCATATTCCTCTAAGGGTGTTTGGATGTGTCTGCTTTGCGCATATTCTTGGCCCTTACCGTTCGAAACTTGATCCCAAGGCAAAGAAATGTGTTTTCCTTGGATATGCAGAGAATCAGAAAGGGTACCGCTGCTATGATCCAGTCTCTGGGAACTGGTATGTTACTATGGATGTTACCTTTTTTGAATCTATGTACTTCTTCTTAAAGGATCTTTCTCAGGGGTAGTGTTTTGGGGAAGTAAGTCAGCAGTCTATCCCTCTCTCAGTCCCAGTCCCTGTGTCTACTCCTATGCTTGACCACCACCTGATGTCACCCACCTTGCCACCTCCTTTGCGTTCCATTTCACAGCATTACTCACGGTAGAGACTCCATAAGGCGGTTGATTCCACTACAACAGAACTCACACCACTTCTTGTCGATCCCTTGGAGACTCCAGATTTGGCTGATACGGATTCAGGTCATCTTGATCCCACTACTATTTCAGTTCCCATTGATCCTACTGACACTGTTACAGATAACCTTGATCTCCCTATTGCTCTTAGAAAAGGGAAGAGAAAGTGCACTGCTCATTGTATCTCACAGTAC